AATGAACTGTGAGGGCTTGCCTTTAGGAATAGCACCACTAATTTATGAAGGCGAGAAGAACAGTGTAATGTAGACCTGGTGCATTGACTCGTAGCAACCTTTACCAGAATATGGCCTGGCACTTCCAAGATTTGCTGTGAGGAGTTTGAAAAAAGGAAACAACGGTGTTGTAACTTCTCAGATATTGCACTGCAGTTGTCACTAGTTGTGCAAGTAAGTGAATAAGAGAACTACTACAGGCTAGAAATTTCCAGAATTATGGTGCAATCATCGCCTATTGTTTTTGCTGTGTATTATTGCTGGCTGGCTCAGTAATTGCTGCTGGGGTGAATGCTGTCCCTCAAACAGGGTTCGTTACCCGGTGTGCAATAAGCCAATCTCACACACAGAGCCGAGATATTTGTTTATTTCATGTCTGCGCAGAGATGGGTGCTAGGTGGTAACTCCACAAAGCTAGCACGCCAAAATACAAAACCAGTCCTTATTTATATCTTAAAATCAGCTAACTACCGCCCATGCTACAAACAGATTGGTTATTATAATTTTCTCATTGCCATTTTGCTTTGTCATCCTCAACATTAACTATGCATGTTCAGTGGGTAAGGGGATTAATGTGGTAGGGGGAGATTTCAGCAGCGGAGGTGTGGTTCTCGTGTTGTAATTAGGATAGATTAACTTAGGACATGATCTTTGAGGAACTTGGCACAATTTTTATAGTTTGAAAGACACTTCATTTATCTCAAGTTCATGCCTACTGCTTCATGACCATCCATTCCTTTCTTGTTCTAAAAATCAATTTATCAAAATGCTGTGTTATAACGGTTCCCATGGTATCTTAATTAAACATTTACAAGATTCAGCAGCTTCTTCATATAATCTTACTACACGAACACAGGAAGGTAGGCTTGGGGAAAAAGAGAAAAGAGGCACAGGAGAATATAATGGTAGTGGTGCAGAATTATGGGATCCCAGGATTTATGGCTGTAGGGCTGTTAACAGGATTTAGATCAAGCCACCTATTCCAGACCATTCTCTAAGATTCGCAACTCTTTACTGTACTTAAAATATCCCAGTAGAGGGAAAAGGAGCAGGTCTTGCACTTGTAAGGTGTTTTCAGACCCTCAGCAACAGCAGAGGCTCTGTAAACAGAGCACGCTGGCACCTGCCTCCCATTTTCTCATCTTAGCACAGCCCCTGAACAAAGTTACATCTTAAAAGCTGGCTTAGAGAAAAGGAAGCCCGGCCTCTGTATTTTGTCATAATTTTTTATATTTCTTTAGAACAAAAGGAGCATAAGGCTAAGGCCAAAACTACTTTCAGTTGCAAACATACAGCTTGCTGGTGTGGGCAGAGTTTAGCTTAAAATAACTGGAGGCAAAAGAAAGAAAAAAGCAGCTTAAAAATGTGTTGTCAGCAGGAGAAAATAGACTCTGTGGGGCACTGGGTTTCTACAGCCTTGTTCTGTAATCAACACAGCTCATTACTGTAGCTGCGCATGATATTGCAAATGGCATTTGGATGAACACATTTTATCTTTCCATCGTGCTCACTAGTTAACAAATTGTCTGCCCAAATTGCTGAACCATGCGTATTGTGTCAAAAACAGAGGAAAGCAGCAGATTCCCTTTGTCAGGGTGGACAGCCTGTGCCAAACTCTCAGTCAGTGATTTTCAATCTTCTTCTGTTTAGACACCTACAAATTGTCCTGTGGAAGTACAGGACTTCGTATAGATGCCTCTTCCCCCTGCAGCGATAATCATATTGCTTTTCTTTCCCTCCCAGTCTACAGCATACACCTGACTCTGAGGTCTGCAGACCACATTTTGGAAATCGGTCTCCCAAGCAACTTAATTTTGTGCATTTACAGTTTCACTTCATTCTTTAAAAAAAAAGTCACTTTCTCATAATATGCATTATGTTCAGTCCTTAAATAGTACTGATGTTACTATTGCACTGCATGGGACAATCCGTCCTGCAATCGAAGTTACAGAAGGAAGTGACCACATATCTGAGATCAGCTAGCAGCGTGTGACTGCACATCACATTGCAAGGCACCTCACAAGTTCTGGCTTCCATCTGAATTCACTTTGGAGTCTCGACATGGGATTAAAGGCGGTTGGACCTCTGCGCTTCTTTGCTGTAATAGGTGTTTCAAAGTGTCGGCGTGTAGTAAGACATTGTAAGCCATAAGCTGTTGTATAGGCCTTGTTTTGAGGCACGACGCAGGCTGAGGATGCAGTCCTACAAGCTGACACTACACTATGCCTTCTAGAGATAAAAAGGGCTATGAGCCATTTTTGCCCCATTCTGATTGTGGTCTTTCCAGTATAATACGCCAGCTGTATTAGAGCAGCCATTAGAGCAATAAATTAGATTAATCAATAATTATGTTACTGCATACTTTTCAGCTGTTCAGCTGTATTCACTGTTCCCTCCATTAGAGTTGTTAGGGGAAAAGAAAAGGGTCCCACATTGCTTCTTATGTCAGGAAAATTCCCCTTACCTCGCTATGGGGCTGTTGTGTCTCCTTTGTGTCATCCAGTAGCATAAAGGGGTCAAGGAGATGTTTAAATTTCTCTTCAGTCTCACTTGAGGAGGAGGAGAAAATGAAAAACAGAATGGGATTATAAATGACAGCCCAAAGGCAAAGGAAAAAGATGACCGAAAGGGGACTGACTTTAGGGTTTGAATATCTTTTCTTTATGTAATTTTTTGGTGATGAAACACTGTAAAAGGTTGCCCAGAGAGGCTGTGGAGTCTCCATCCTTGGAGATATTCAAAACCCAATGGGACACAGTGCTGGGCAACCTGCTCTGGGTGGTATTGCTTGAGCAGGTGGATTGGACCAGCTGATCTCTGGAGGTCCCTTCCAACCTCAGCCACTCTGTGATTCTGTGGTTCTGTGTTTTAGATATTTTCTTCCATTTTTCTGGAGGGAAGAGTGAGCTGAAAGAACAAAAGAGAAAGTTAAAAAATCTCTCCCTTTTTCTCCCTAATAGAATTAACTTCTGTTAACCTTTCTAACCATTGCCAACCTTGTCAACGTGAGCAATCCTGTTAGCTGGGCTGGATTAGTAAACTCCAATACCAGCTCCAAAGGTAATTCTTCAGCACATCCAGGCTACCTTTGAGGTTTTCCTTAGTGTGGAAACGAGGGGGCAAGGAAGAAGCACTGATGCACATTCTGGTTCTGTCTTCCCATGGGGTCAGGATTTGGCCAAAGCGCACATCTCACCCAGGAACTGGGAAATGCTGCTGGGATGTTTCATGTAGGTGGAGATTATGCATGCACGATGAGGAAGCTGTGGTATACTCATAAAGAAATGTGTGTGGGAAGAGGTTTAGTAGCCATGCTGAAGAGCTGGTCATATTTAAGAGAAAGACAGGACAAGGTTTTAAATGGAGCCTGCACATAATGCAGGTTAGCCCATACAGAAGTACGTATGTGTTTGTAGGGCTGGGATTTAGGAGTCCTGGGCCTCAGGCTCTTTGGCTGCATCCATGAACTGATCCGACACACTACTGCTTCTATCATTTAAGGCACTCTGTTACCCGGTGCAATTTTCAGCATCAAGTTAGGCACCTGAAGATGGCGTCCGTAAGCAGAGCTGGCTCAAGGCACAGGCAAAATAGGCAAATATCTGGGTTAGAGCTTGCTGGGGAACAGCTGATCCCCTCCCATCTCTTTTTACCTGCCCGTGCCCTCTCAAAATTTCACAGAATACTGCTAGCCCTACTTCTATCTCCCTCTGCTTGTGCTGCTAGATTTAATTGTGCATTTCTGAGGCAATGAAATTCAGTTTTCCCTGACAACTGAGAATCCCTAAGCTGGCTCCGGAGACAGGCTGGACTAGCTCAGAAAGGCGTCTGCTCAGCATCAGCACTGGTGCGAGGAGGAGGAGGAGGACTATGTGTCCAGGGACAGGAGTGGGGAGGGGACGAAGCCTGAAACAGGACCTTTCAATAGTAATTAGAGCCACTCAAGTCAATGTTTAACTTCACCTATAGACCCATGCTGGTCTCTACCTGGAAGCACTCAGGAGTTAGGTAAGGCTTTGCAAAATTATTTGAGGCTAGGCTGAGTAAAGGGCTGAGGTTCCTAAAGTTTTAGGCAACACTTAAGCATGGAAGTGCAAGACTATGAATCTGAAAAGACGTCATAACTTTGTTCCCTAATCTTCAGACATACATTACTTTTTCACTTCAGAATTATTCAGTGGCCTCTAGTCATGCTCCTCTGGGTCTGCTCCCTTCCTGCTGGGATGGACAGGGATTTCTCACTCACTACCTTGTAGTAGCCTGGGATTCCCACAGAAGCGAAATCCCTAAACCGGTGGTGGGAGAAGTGCCTCCTTCCTCAGAGAAGACATCCTTGCCTGAGATGCAGAAAATCTGCTAGTAGAAATGATGGCCTCACATAGCGATTCATGCTGTTAAAACACTATTAAATGCCAAGAGCTGCCTTAATCCCATTTATGGTCTGAAATTGTTATGACACACATTTCCCATGCCCGAATTGTATGTATTGTAGAGGAGACAGACATAGTGAAAGAAGAAAAAATCAAATCAAACCAACAACAGGTTGTTTAAGTTAAAACAGCCTTTGCCATCCTGTAGTCTAGTACTGGGCTGAGTGCTCTCCCATCCATGGCCTATTGTGGTTCCCCAAGGTCAGCCTGACACACCTGATGACTTCTTCTCTCCATGCTACCAAATGTAAGACACTTGAATTAATCTATCAGTTTCTATCTGGTAATAAAACATCACATATCTCAGTTTACACATGACGTGTATGTGGCAGACAAAGTCCTATCGCACATGCACCAGCAGTTTTTAGTAGAGTTAGTCAGAGGAAAGTTGAAAGTGAAGAAAAAGGAACATTTCCAGGCAGAGGAGGAAATGGGCAGGACAAGATGAGCAAGAAAAAAGGCCTAATATTTCTTCCTCCACCCCAGACATATGTATATAAATAGTGAGAGAGTGATTTCCCCTGCTCGCTGGTCGCTACTCGTTTGCTGCATCTCTCAGGGACACGCACCATCCCTCCAAGATGTGGGCAAAGGTACTGTCTTGTTTCTTTGCACTGTAAGATGCACTTTTCTGTTTAAGCTTCTGTAGCCTCACTCTATATGTTTCAGTAGGCGTGCATCACGTTATGGGATATGTGGTTCATCTGCTTTAAATGACTTGTGTACCTCTTAATATACAGTCTTAATGCTTTAGTACAAAGCTGAATGAGAACTTACCTGAAATAACGGGTACAATGCTGGTCACCATTGCCAGAAAAGAGAAATCCAACTGGAACAAGGCAATGAAAAGCTACTAGCATAGTTGGGATGAGCCTGTATTATAAAGGAGAGAGCAGCAGAGTTTGGTTTGTTTAACTTAACAAAATGAAGGCCAAAAGGAAATATCGTCGCTCTGTGTGGATATGTGCAGGGGAGTAGAGGAAGAGGAAGGATGAGGGGAAATGAAAGGAGATAATTTCCAAAGAGAGAGAAGAGCTATATTCAGTAATGCCAATATAAAAAAAATAAGTGTGTGTATAGACTGGTTGTAAACAATATATGCCTCTACAGGGAGAAGTTTCTAATGGTCAGAGAAGGGAAGTTCTAGGTTAGTTTCTAATAGAGATATTAACAGCAGCTAACAGCTCCAGCCAAGAAGAAGCAGGCTGAGTTTGCATAATGGGTCAGTGCTCAATGGGAAAGCAAAAAAAAATTAGAAATATAATTCCCAGATCAGCAGGAGCCAGGAACAAGGAGTCACTGCTTTTCAAAGAGGTGAGATCTTGTCTTGGAGAAAACCTGGGAGTCTAGCTGGGTGTAAATTCAAGGGGAGCTGGGAGCCAGGAGCGGCGGGTGCAAGGTAGGACTGCCAAGTCCCATCTCCCACTGAGCTCCAAGCTCAGCAAGGCTTGGCATGGTAATTCTGCTACTCAGGGAGATGAAATCTTGCATCCTTGTGCGGTAGCGGCTGCACTGGATTGGAATGCCACTTTCCCACTGATTTCAATAGCAATAAGAAGGTGCTATGGAAAGCCAGATGTTTTTTGCTTCTATTGGTTTTATATAGTGTGTGTGTATAGATATAGATATCGATATCGATATCGATATCGATATCGATATCTTGCAAAGTTACATCACCTGCAGTGCTTATCCTCAAGGACTTAAGTCAAGGAGGAAGCAGCAGAAATACAGAACAGAGAAGGACACTGATGAAAATATAAATAAAATATAAATAACACTGTGACATTTCTGGGAATAAAAAGGGGAAGAATTCAAACCTTAGTTTTGCTGATGCAATTCATGTAAGCAGAGGCAGGGCAACAGAAATGGCCAGCATGCTAAGCAGTAACCCAAAACTGAAAGCAAAAAAAAAAGAAGAAAGAAAAATAAATGTTTTCTTTAAATAAAGAGAAATATCTACTTCTTCTTTTTTTTTCCCCCCTCACAGACAATTACAGGAAATTTTGCCAATGTGATTCATGGTTTGAATGCAAACCACTTGACAGACCAAGTCATTCAGAGGAGCAAGCGAATGATTCTGGATACTCTTGGAGTGGGGCTTCTGGGTACCAGCACTGAGGTCTGCCACAAAGTGACACAGTACAGCAAGGTAAAGTGTCTGGCATTCACAGCATACCCTAAGGCTTAGCTTTAGGAAAAGCAAGGGAAAATTTGGGCTATAAGGGGAACCCTTGTCATGGTGAAATTCTTTTGGGGATGGAAAGAGAGACACGGTGTTCTTCCCACTGGAGACAGGGAAACTTCATTGCTCGAGTTGTTACTTTTAACTCTGGGTAGGCAAAAGTCTGTGTAACAGGCCATATGCTAAGACCCCCCACTGCAAACACAGTTAATTAAGAATCCCTTCCTTTCTTTCCTATGAGATTTTATTAAAAACATCAGCAAAGCAAACATCACTTATCACCAGACTTTCAAAAATAAGGGACTGTTAAAGGGATGGAGAGATAGTAGTGGGTTACTTCCAGTCCATAAAACATAATTGTTGTCTGAGGTACATTGGTCATGTGTCTCCTCCAGTCATGTTCTCCTTAAACTAGAGGAGTACTTGACCTCGAGGAGAAGCCTTCCCAACACATCAATGAGGAGGAGTTTAGCCCACTGTTTTATCGGTCAGATCTGCCTAGTTTGACTCAGGCTTCAGAGCTCTATGTGCCAATAAGTCTCTTCACACAGAGATGCCCCCTTCCCAAACCGTGGTATTTTATGCCCTTTTATTTAATTCTGTAAAGATCTCTTTGTTGGCTAAAAGATCTGCACAGCAAAAGGAAAAGAGCAGAGCCCTTTACAGCATGGGGATACCAGCATCAGGAGGCCATATATCATTTGCCCAGGGCCTACTAAAATGTAGAAAATCAAAACCTTTAACTGGAGATCTTCCCCAACAAGATGATGACAGTCCTGAGAGCACTGCCGATGGGTGGTGAGAATGGCCAGAGGTTGTGTGAAGGTACTGAATGGCCAGGTGGATAGTGTTGGTCTGCCCCGAGGTCTGTTTGGGTGGAAAGAGCCCTTGACATAAGCCAGCAGGAAACCAAGTTTCTTTTCCTACTTTTTGATAGAACAATATTTTTCTCATGAAAGGGAACAGTGGGGTCCCAAGAGGGTATGGTCTGATCTCGGCTACATCAGAGATGCGGCGCACATTTATCATTGGGTTCAGGACTTTGAATTAATTGATGTCAATTTGTTTCAGATCTACAGCTCAGACATATCCAGTACCATCTGGGGCCACTTGGATTTCCGACTGCCTCCTCTGTATGCAGCTTTTGTGAATGGAGTGGCTGTAAGGAATGCTCTTTTATTTTTCTCTTAAATCACACTCATTGATATTGTTCTCACTCTAGAGAGAACAGAATGCTCCTAAAATCTTGGTTTACTTTATTCTTGTGCCTGAAGCCTACTACAAAACTTTCCTAGACTGTTCTCCTAATGTGTTTCAACTTTCTTCCAATGAGACCAGGCTCAAGGTATAATATATATCTGATGCAACTCAACAGCACCCCTTACCTTTAACGTGGGACTTGGGGCTGTTTTCGAAGGTGAGAACTCTACAGCTTGTTACAACCTTGCTACAGCCACATTACAGAGACATACTCTGGCTCTCACTGATTTCACCGGGATCCAAATTTCACCCCAACTGGCAAAGTATAGGTACAGAAAAACACAAATACAGAAAGATGCACATATACATACACACATGTAATATCACAAGGCACTTTAATCTTCAGTCATGCCATTTGCAAAAGCCAATTACGTATTTTGTACACATACTTTGTCAGTAAAGCAATAGCTGGCTCCTCAGATATTTGTCTAAATTCAGATTTAGGCTGAAACCATTTGAAATTGAAAGATGCACCAGAGGTGGAGTAGACAAATTTGGCAATTATGCAAAACTAGGGAAGGTGACCAACCAAGGAAACGTATTAAGCCTATCTAAATTAGTGTGACAACAAAATCAGAGGTCCAATTTGACACCTCATTTCCAATGTAGAGAAAATTACCTTGGAAATGAGATCTCTGGTACCTCTCAGCTCCTAGTAGCCCGTGTGATATTCAAATCTGGCTGTTAGCGTGTATATGATCATTTCAGTTTACATCTCGGTCACAGGTCAGTTTTAAGTGCTTATTGAAGCCACCAGGAATGCAGCTTACCGGGTATTAGGCAGAACTGTCCTTAGCCCACACTGCAGGGCATCTTCCCAGCTGGCATCAAAGTTCTTCAAGGCAGGGACTGGGTTTCCTTCTGTCTGTTCAGGCACGCAGTCCTCAGAAGTGTGTATTCCCAGTATTACGGGTCAAGACCTGTGCGCTGGGGAGCCTGTCCACCTTCCCAGTTCGCTCTCAAGTAAGACACAGGTGAATAGGCGTGGAAGTTCAGCTTTTGAGGCATTATTATGTTATTAAAAATGCTGTCCCTGATGCTCTCAATTCCTTGGAGGTTCTCAAAACTTTGGCGGGGGGGTTCCAACAAGCAGTACATTGCAAACACTGAGTGCACTGCTTGGAGCAGTCTGCTACCAGAACAGCAGCCATATGCCATGCTGGGAATGCCCAAAATCTTCCCAAGCAGCTGGGCTCTGGGCATGGGAAAGAGGAGGCACCTCTCTGGATACTCGCAAGGGCTAAGCAGCTCGTCCCAGTTTTAAGACTGTAGCTTTCTCTTAATCCCAGCAACCCCAGAGAGTCTGGTTCCTCGCGTGACAGGTCTTGTTTCAACGTTCTCAAAATTCAGGCTAAAGCCTCATGTACATTTGCAGGGTTGTGCATGTTGCCTGTGGATGGTTGCACTAGAGAAGTTGTTCTGATACAACTTTCAATTAGCAGTATGGGTTCAACTGCTACCGCTTTAATGGCGTGAGCCCTAATGGCAACATCAGTTGCAGCACAGGGGAAGTAATTTCATTATGTTTATATACTGTTTTGGGGGAAGTGAAAATTCACCATTCACATGGTGGGTCTAGAACTGCTGCTTTAGTTATACCAGTCTAATTAAAGCAGCAAAAGCCTATTATAGGAAAGAAGATTCATTGTCATACTGGTTCTAGGCTGGTGCAACTTGAGTTAGAATTATACCCCTTTGAGGCAAGATTTGTATTGTGTTGCCACTTCTCACCGAGCTATGTTGGGAGTAAAGGTCTTAAAAGACAGACTTTTGAAGTTTTGCTTTCTAAGGAAAATCTAGTTCTTCTGTTCTTTTTTATACCAGTTACAGTAGTTTCATTTGACTAAGCCAACCTTGCCAAGTCAGAGTTTATTTCTGATGACAAGTCAAGCCTTCTCTTTCCATTAGGTGCACTCAATGGATTTTGATGACACGTGGCATCCAGCCACACACCCATCCGGGGCTGTGCTCCCCGCCGTGATTGCACTCTCGGAGGCCTTTCCTCTGAAGAAAAAAATCTCGGGTCTCGATCTGCTCTTAGCTTTCAACGTGGGAATTGAAGTGCAAGGCAGACTGCTGCGCTTCTCCAGCGAAGCCAGGAATATTCCAAAAAGGTACATAGAAATACTTCAAGGAGAAGGTTGAGTGGAAGGTTTTTTTCCTCAGTGTTAATATACTTAATTAAATGCCAGTTAAAATACAGGTGGCACAGTTAATCATATTTTCTATGTTGTTTGTCTGGAAATTTAGGAAAGGTTCATCTTAAACATAAATACACTTACATGACTCCTTACGGCTTAGCTAATAGATTTATTTTTGAGAGCATTGATCAGTTTAGAAGGAGAAGGTGATGATCTCCCTATTTATTAAAAACAGCAGCGAAAGGGCAATGTTTAACAGCAGAGGTCTCAGGCTTTCATGAATACATACGATCATGCCTCAGCTGCAAACAGTGGCTTGCTCTCAGCAGAAAGGCGTCACCAGTGCTGGGCTCAGAGCAGAGCCCAAGGAGATGGGGTGTGCTTAGGGGAAAGCCTTTTAGTGTGAGATGGACTAGATGTCTTCTTGCTATTTTCTGTGTGTTCCTTATACCAATTTTGCAAAACTAGTTCAGAATAACAAAACTTGCCTTCTTCACTACATATCATTTATAGATGACTATAAATTATTTTACAGATAATTTACAGATGACTATAAACTGTGGCACTTGTGCCATTATTCTGTTCAGTATGCCTTGAACTATGAGCAGTTCTAACGTTTCAGTTGCATTTCTGGGGAGGACTTATTGTATATGGTATTATTCCAGTTTAACTTGTTCCTGGGGAAAAGTGACAACTTTTTCTGTTAGGACCACACATGAATTCTCAATGTTTGTTTCTTTACGGTCCAGTCCATCTTCCACAGCAGCAAAAGGAAATTGGAGCTTGTGTATATAGTGAATTCAGGTGACTTTTTGAAATATGATAACAAAGAAATTTTTTTTTCTCAGGTTTCACCCACCGACTGTGGTCGGTACAATGGGGAGTGCAGCAGCTTGTGCTAAACTGCTAGCTCTTGACCAGCTGAAATGTAAAAATGCCTTGGCTATTGCTGCCTCCTATGCAGGTGCCCCACTGGCTAATGCAGCAACCCAAACAAAGCCCCTCCACGTTGGCAATGCTGCCAAGCACGGACTGGAAGCAGCTTGCTTAGCATCACAGGGCCTTCAGGGAAACAAACAGATCTTGGACATGGAGTCGGGGATAGGTGCCTTTTACACAGATTATAACCCACAGACCCTGCCAACCTTGCAGTCCTATCCCTGGCTGTTGGACCAGCAAGACGTGGCCATCAAACGTTTTCCTGCTCATCTTGGAACACACTGGGTGGCTGACGCAGCATCTTCTGTTAGGGGGAAACTTGTGGAGAGCAGTGACAACTTGCTCCCCCTTGATAAAATTAAGAAAGTCATTCTCAAAGTCCCAGAGGTCAAATACGTGAACAGACCCAGCCCTACCTCAGAGCATGAAGCTCGACACTCCTTCCAGTTTGTTGCATGCTCTGCTTTGCTGGATGGCAGTATGTCAGTCCAGTCCTTCGCCAGTGAGAACATTCACCGGCCAGCCTTGCAGGAGCTCCTCTGCAAAACGCAGCTGGAGCACCCTCCTGATAACACACCTAGCTTTGAGAGTCTTTACTGCGAAGTGAGTGTCACACTTCGGGACGGCAACACGATCAGCGACCGCTGCGATACGTTCTACGGACACTGGAGGAAACCTCTGAAAAAAGAGGACTTGGAGAAAAAATTTCAATCCAATGCCTCCAGCATCCTGCCTGCAGAAGCCACAGAAGGCATTATAGAGACCGTGTACAATCTGGAAAAAGTAGAGGACTGTTCTGTATTAAGTAAATTTTTATCAGGACAGTCAGCTAGAGTGCTTTTGGCGAAGCAGCGCTCCCTTTGAATGTTCCAACCAACAGCTAGACGCTGTTCACAAAGGAAACACGAAATTCAGGACAAACTCTTAATTAGTGACTCAAGCACTTTTAAATAGGACTCCTGTAACAGAAGAACCATACTCAGTTTTTGACTAAGTAAATAATTTAGCCATTACGTGCACAGCTCAGTCAGGCTGAACAGAAGATCCTCTGCTGGCACAGTCGACTTCAATTATCTTTATACCTCTAGAGGCAGAGAACTGCTTGCGCACGACACAAAAATTTCCCTGCTCTTCTGCCAAAAAAGTCTGTATGTTCTGCTTCTGCTAAATAACTCCATAAAGAAAATCCAAATTCTGGAGGAGCATGGAAATGCTGCGTCCATGAGAAACTTCATTGTGAGAAGGACAGAGAATAAAAGCCTTTATATATTTATTTCTGTAGACTTAGCTTTAAAACCTCCTTGAAGAAGCCACCTGTTACGTCCAAGCTTTGACGTTTGTGCTAAAATAAACACGACATGCATACAGAGTAGTAGCACTTGATACTCTGCAACACGTCAGGCTTCGCTGTAACGATTGGTCTTGCATTGACGAGGTAAAGGTTAGTGCCCTTCCTGATCAAGCCAGCTGCTGAGCAGGAGGGACAACTCAACACTCCTCGTCATAAAAGCGTTATTTCCCAGTTCCATCTTTTGGCTGCTCTGTGGTACAGGTTTGTTCCTGCTGTATTCCCACTCCAGTTACAAGGCGCTCGCTCGACAAGATGTGATTAGCACGAATTAGCGATGATGCGTTTAGATTACTTCAGGCACTGCAAAGCATGGGCTACAATACGCTCGTTATGACTGACAGAGACCTGTGAGCATCAGAACGCTTCTTATGCTGAGACGATTAAGTGTCCACAGTGACAATCAACTTACCTTGATAATGAATTCTGGGAATTTTTAGTTCCTTCAGGAGTACAAAACCTTGCCAGATTGTGCTTCTAAGAAAGGCTGGCGACCTTTGTTCACATTTGTAAGATCAAAGCATGTGTTCTAACTTATATAAAATGTATAAAGTGCCTTAGAGCACTAAGCTATGTATGCAAAAAATCACAAAATAAAGCTAATTCATTTTACTAACTAAACCTCAAATTATCTCATGTACTAGAGCAAAACGTGTGTATTTTCCATACAATGTATTCATTTGTACTTAAGCCTCTGACTCTTGGTTTATAAAGTCGGTTTATCTAGGGGGCTCTGCAAAAATTTCAGAAGTCCATTAGTCATACTTGCTTAAAGACTTGCAAGGGAAGGAAAAAAATCCCAACCCACCACATTCTTTTCTTTTTCCCTTCTGATTAGGAAGTAGAATTGAATTACTCATCTATACTGAAGGTATACAGACTCATTTACAGCTATTTCATCTGTAATTATAGCTGAATATCACCAAATGTTAATTACTCATAATCATTAGCAATGTGATAAAACCCCATTGGACAAGGAGGGTTCCTCCATTATCTTATCAAGACTGAATACATTCAGATTCACGAGGAAAAAAAAGGGGAACCCCCACCCCCGCCACTACAACAACCTTCAACACATGCTTTCTATTTTAAAAGAGAAATAAATAGGCTAAACTTGGCAATAACCATCTGATATATTACAGATTTAAAAAAAAAAAAGAAAAAGAACTGTGAAGTTTAATAGTTGCATTATTTTATTAATACAATCAAAGGAAGCTAAATGCTAATTGATTTCCTTGCAGAAGTCTGTATGCTTCCAGTCAGGCAAGTTTCAGGACTTCTTGTACCATTGTTCCAATTCCATCAAAGATTTCATGCAGAGGAGCCTTGCACATGAAAGCACAGGTAGTAACTATTTTATTGGCCTTATCCACATGGGATTCATTTACATTTTTGCAAATGTGCTTACATCCAAGCTCTGCTATAGCAGATGCCGTGTCAGCATCGGGAAATCTGTAAATAAAAAGATTGTAATTAACATAAAGAGATGATACAGCCATAGAGTTCTGCCAACATAACTTGAATGAGAGAACTACAAGAATATTTAAGTGACTCTTTAGCTGGTGATGACAAGGGAGTCAAACAGACTGTCACTCTCAGGTTCTCCCATCCCCTATGGACACAAGTGACCCCCTATCTTTGAAAACAAGGTCTGCAACGCAGAGCCACAGTATGTTAGAAGGTACGATTCTGTTTTTAACAATCTTTCAATAAGTTCACAAGATAATACCAAGTGCAGCCATAACTGATCCTCAAAAGTTTGAGAGATGCCAGCTGAACTTGCAGACACGCTAGACCTCTTCCAACACCTCCATATAAGATCTTCCACTGTGATTCTGCAGAGATTTTTTTCCTGAGGATAAGGCAGGAGCAGGGGGGTGGAGGCAATCCCTCACTACCGCTGCTATGAAATTCCATTCAGAAGTTTTATCGGGAGTTGACAGTCCTTGAAGCAGCACTGACTTCTGCCAGGCCCTGTTCTCATCTGCCTCCCCTAAACTGGCCCCAAACAACTACCACCAGAAAAACTTTATTAAAAATCTCTGAACAGACAAAACCCCACAGATGCATCTTAAACGGACACTCAAATTACCACAGGGAACACATTTTTGAATGCCAGCTGGCCAGATGCCTATTCTTCATTTGCACATTTGCAGCATGAATCATGGCCCTTCAAAGGCATTGGGTAAGCAAATTCTGTATCTCACTTAATATGAGCTAAAATCAATTACCATGAATGTAACATGAAAAAATAACTTGATATCCTTGGTCACCTGCATGTTTGCAGAAGTAGGATTCTGTAAAAGTCTCTGTTCTGTCACTTTTAGGACTGACGGATGCTACATCCAGCGACTCATTAGCACCCACACAGCACAATAAAGCCGGTGCAGGAACCTCTGTTACCTTTGGTAGCTCACAGAGTGACAGCTTAGGCAAGAGGTAAGGCTACCTAGAGTTTTCATGCTATTAACTGTAATGTGTCTGTGGATGTTGATATCATAAACATATCACAGACCAATGTATTTCTGAATATCGGGATAAATTGTTCTAACATTGTAGAGCACAAATCACCTGACCTCACAGATTCAGTCTGTCTGCCCTGAGAGTTCTGCACCTACTATTACTATACAAGTGAAAATTTGAAATAAGTGAAAAATGTCACTAATAAGCTCCCCAAAGGTTACTGGCACCAGAGACCTCAGACTTTTGCACAGAACACTGTCCATTTCCTAATCCTAATTCCCATGTAAATTATCTCCATCCATTTCCTTCTTACCTTCCATCTATGTTTTTATCTTGGCCGACCGTGACTTCACAACCAGGAAAGACTTTAGCTGCCAGGACTGGCGAAATACAGCACAAACCAATGGGCTTTTTAGCACTGTGGAAAGCTTGGAGTGTGGAGCTCACGTGCTCATTGACAGTACAGTTCTTGCCATCTACAGCCCAGGAACACAGGTTCTTTGCTACACCAAAACCACCTAAAAAAAACCCCAAAACCCACAAAAGCTCAAATGTAATGGCTAAAAGCCATTAAATTCAATACCAGAAAATAATTCTCCTTTTCTACAATATAATCATGGCATATGTAGGACTGTTAAATTATTATACTGAAAGCTTTCAGCACATGAAACGTGATGGGTTTATAATGTTAAAAGTTTAACTGCAGATTTTTTATACCACATATGTTATGTAGGCCAGAAAGCTTAATCTTGCTTCAATGAGGAACAAATAGAGAAATAGGAAACCTCACATTCATTTGCTAGCAACTGGAAAAGCTGCACCATCTGGTATGCACCCCTTGATAAGCAAGAGAGGGATTAGAAGAAAAGCCAACGTTAGTTAAAAGTAGAGAGTGCAGTTCACGAGAGTAACGCCAACAGTGGTTTGACCCTTTACAGTAATCTCACTCTCAAGTTTTAGTTTAATACCTAAACAATTACAGGAGAGCTTTTTCCCCACCTAGAATTCTTTTTGGACTTAAAAAAAACAAAAAAAAAAGATGAACACAATAAAAACAAAATGGGTATTACATAAAAAGGAATTGATAACATACGATATTCTGAGACATACCACTTATGAATGATAACATCATTTCTTATTAAAAATAATGCTGAATTTGTCTTTCTAGAAGTTAGTTATAACGATCTTTTCCTTGCATTTAATCTTCGTTTAATTGTACAAGCAGATTATATTTTACAGCACCTTCGTTTGCTGGATTTATAACCATCAAAATAATCAAAGAAGGTTATTAGTAAGTGTAACCGTCCATTGTATTTGATTCCTTATGGAATGTGCACAACATCAACTTTTCTACAATAAACAAACAGAAATTTCCACAGGTATTTCAATGGACAACATCGAGAAGCTTTGCATTTTTAATATTTTTCCTTTCATTCTTTGCTCACTTTTGAGTGTTATCTGGAATCTCTGAGGTAAGATTTTAATTTTCAAACTTAATAGGGTTTATTTCTCTCTAATAGTTATTACAGCAACCTCCCTGAGCCTGGGTTATAACAGCATGAAATTGATGTGGAAAATATTTGCCAGCCTCTACTCCCTGACCAGCCCTGATGTCACCCACTCATTTTAGTGCTGCAAGTATGTTTCTCTGCCTTATATACACACTCCCTCTGCTGGCCTTATAACAGAAGACAGTGTAACAACTTCAAAATTAACACTTGGGCACAATCGCGAAGGCAATATTTAACAGTACTATGAATATTCTGGAAGGTGACCTTCAGCGAGTCATAATTTCCTCGTGATGCTTTGGTTTCTTCATTTCTAAAGTGATTACAATTACCTCTGTCTGAAAGGCAATTTTGCGGTCTATAAATAAAAAATTATCCATAAACATATTTAGTATAACTTGATCAGCAGCAGACCAGATACATAATTAAAACAAAATGTACTCACATCTGACAGAGAATATAATCTACTTGGCAACCTACTATTCTGCCAACAATTTCAGAGGCCCTAAAAATAAGGCATTGCCATGTAATGTCAAGTTCTGGCC